GGGGGGGGGGGAGCTGGGGCAGGTGCCCCCCCCCCTGACCACTGTCCCTGCCCTGTCCCACAGTTCTGCCAGCCCAGTGGGTGGCAGCTCTTCCCAGAGAGGAACCCACCCACCTTCTTCGTGGCCGTGCTGACCGACATCAACTCGGAGCGTCACTACTGCGCCTGCTTCACCTTCTGGGAGCCCGTGGAGACCCCACAGGTACCCGGGGCTGGGGGGGGGGCGGTGCCAGCCCGGGGCCACCCCCCCCCCCCCCCAGTGCTCCCTGCTGTCCTCTCCCGAGGGCTCCAGGTGCCAGAGCCTTGGGAGAGGGAAGAGGCTCCTGCCCCTCACCCCGGGGCTGCTCCGTGTCTCCGTAGCCCCAGAGCCACCCCAGGAATGGTGAGGGGGAGGAGGAGGAGGAAGAGGAGCCTTCATCCCCTGTTCAGCCCGCCCAGCTCTTTGCTCCCAAGAGTTTGGTGCTGGTGTCACGGCTGGACCACCCCGAGGTGTTCAGGGTAAGGCTGGAACGTGGCTGGGGGAGCAGGTCCTGCCTGGAGCACAGGAGGGCAACACTGGGACAGTTCCCCAGCCCTGGGAGCAGCCAGGAGCTGTGGGGTCACTGCCAGGAGCTGTGGGGTCACTGCCAGGAGCTGTGGGGTCACTGCCAGGAGCTGTGGGGTCACTGCCAGGAGCTGTGGGGTCACTGCCAGGAACTGTGGGGTCACTGCCAGGAGCTGTGGGGTCACTGCCAGGAGCAGGAGCTGCAGGAGGGCTCTAGCACCCTGGCCTGTGGGAGGGTGGGTCTGTGTCCCAGCCCTGGGAGCTGGGGCAGCAGCTGAACCCCCAGAGGTGCTGTGGGAAGCTGGGGGGCAAAGCCAGACTGCTGGGGGCCCTGTCTCACCTTTGTTCATGGAAACTGAACCCGTGAGGAACAGCCTGTTCCCTGGGGAGCACTGGTCTTGGCCACCTGGAGTGCTGGAAGGTGCTGGGGAGGTGGGGCAGGACATTGACAAAGCTGGGCTGGGAGTGGGGCTGGGAGCTGGGAACTGGGAGCTGGGCTGGGAACTGGAAGCTGGGCTGGGAACTGGAAGCTGGGCTGGGAACTGGAAGCTGGGCTGGGAACTGGAAGCTGGGCTGGGAACTGGAAGCTGGGCTGGGAACTGGAAGCTGGGCTGGGAACTGGGAACTGGGATGGGAGCAGAGAGCTGGGCTAGGAACTGGGCTAGGAATTGGAAGCTGGGTTGAGGGCTGGGAGCTGGGCTGGGAACTGGGCTGGGAGCTGGGCTGGGAATTGGGCTGGGCACTGGCCTCTGTGCCAAAGGCTGCCAGGTTCCTGTGTCTGCCAGGGCTGGACTGGGGGGGGCAGGGGTGGGATG